GACCTGTGGGGAAGGCAGCTGAAATGACATTAGCTGGGCTGGGCACTGTGGCTCTCGCCTGTAATCTCAGCTAACTGGGAGGCCGATGTGGGAGGACTGTTTGAGCCCAGGAGTTCAAGGCCAGTCTGGACAACATAGTGAGACCTTGTTCTTACAAAAACATAAATAAGAGAAATAACCAAGCTGAAATGATGTTAGCTGATCTTGAAAGTCACAGCAAAAATGCGCAGTATGGCCTGGGAAAAGCATCAGGAGTGAGAGGGACTAGTTTAGGGAGAATCTCTGAATTCCATAATGGCCAGAGTGTACTTCTCAAATGGACTCATCATTTCAAATCACTGCGCCATTCCTACTGCAGGGTGACCACAGTCTGCGGCCCCTTTTATCTCCTTGGGTCATCAGCCTCTCTCAGCAGGCGGGTGGCACCCAGACTCTTATCAGGATGTAGGCTGCCCCAGGGCACGGATCTTGCCTGCTGTGTTGCGGGTGTGCCTGAGCACACCCGCAGGGTGTCTGGCTAGAAACCAGTGGTCAAGAAGCATTTGTGGGATCAGTGATTGGGTGAATGAAGCCCAGCTGCCGTCCTGCTTACAGATACAGGAGACAGGACGGGATCAGTTTCTGCACAGCACCTTTCCCTCAGTCCTCATCAGACTCGGATTCCATGCAAACTCTCCCAAGCTTATAAAGAAGGAAAGGAAAAAAGGAATGGGAAGACAGGCCAGAAAGACGCAGAAAAGGCCCTCGACATCCTGATTTCCTATGTGACATCCTTCCCGGTGGCCCAGAGCCCTGATGTGTCCACAGCAGCTGCCCTGCTGAGTAGTGGGGCGGTGGTGGGGGGTTGCTACCACTGCAGGGAGGAGGAAGAGGAGCTGCCTGCTGAGACCCTAAGAAGACCCGGCCTCTTCGTATCCTTCTCGCCCATGCCTCTCCAGGAGTCAGGCCGATGCAAGTAAAGCCCCCGGCAGCTTTTGCCCATCAGCCGAGAGCAGGTTGTTCTGTTAGGAGAAGCATTTCTTCCAGAGCGATGTACAGAGCTCGTGCAAGCAGCGATTATTCAGAAACAGAACTTGAGGCGAAACCCACAGCCTTCTCCTATTTAGGATATGGCCCAGATCCTTGGAGCTGTTTCCCTGTGGTATGTGTGGGGCTGTAACTGGCCTCCCAGTGACCTGAGAGCTGCCTGCCCTGACTTAGTGAAGACTTGGCCTTGGAAACGATTGCAGATCTTTTATCCCGCTTTGAGCTGGAAAGTCCCTGTTGGGTTGTTGGTACACTAAGGCATGTGAAGTAGAGGGCCGGCATGGGGCCAGCCAGCCTCACAGGCAGGGTGCACTTCTGGCTTTGCCGTCCAGCACCTTGCAAAGTGCTTGTCCACATCTGCACTCCTGCTGTCTCCTGGGCTCTGCCATTAGTTCATGAGGGACGAGGTCACAGGGCTGTCATCCCTGGCGAGGCCCCCACTGATTGGTTTGGGGAGGGGGTGTTTATGCTCATTGTTGTGCGGGTGTGTGTGTGTGTGTGTGTGTGTGTGTGTGTATGTGCTGATTGTTTTGAGTATGTATGTGTTTTTAATTTCCCATTGGCACTTTGAGGTGAAGGGCTGGGAATGTGGAGCTTACTTCAGCAGTTGGTGCGTTTGGGGCTCTTGCCCAGTGTCCTTTGGGTGCCACCTTCCCTTTGGAGACACCGAACCCCCGTGAAGACCTCGCCCCTGGGAATGGCCTGCCAGTGTGTTTCCGTGTTCTTGTCTTGCCACAGGGTGTGTTGGGGCTTGTGTGGACCTGGTGGGTCTCCACAGGAGCGGTAGCTCCTGCCTCCCACCTCCCCTGTTGCACCGTCTCCAGCACGATGTTTCTGCACATTTCACAGCCCAAAACACACTTTCTCTAGGGACTGGCGTGTGAAGGATCTGAACTATTCTGAGTGCTTCTGGTTTCTTTTTTGTTGCTTATAGCCAAGCCCAAAATTAAGTCCGCATTTCCCCTGCCAGAGCTCTGGCCCTGGGCTTGGACTGCCAAGTTCTGTTGCCTGATGACCCATTAGTCTGCAGGGTTTGCAGAATTTCCAGGGCAGTAACAGTGGAAGGACTGAGTGTCCATCATTCAGTGCCAGGTTCTCTGCTCCAAGAAGCTTTTGTGAAGTGCTGTGTCCCTCAGCTAGCAGATTACAGTGAGGAGGAGATGACGGTGAAGATGCCCAGAGGGAAAGGCAGATAGGACTGTCGCGGACCTGTGCATGGTTTCTCTTCTCTGTCTCGTGGGTCTAGCGACAGCATGGTGATCTCCTGAATGATTCTTGGTCCCACTGCTCTCTAGCTTTGTGACCTAAGCTTGAGTTACTTCCTTTGCAAAATCATAGTGCCTTCCCCACAGAACGTATTTTTTCTAGCTGGCTAAGTCCACACGCCTCCAGAACGCCTTTCTTGACTTACCAATGTGCTAATTCACCGTCTTTATGTGGTCCCATAACAGCGTGCACACTTTAGCCATGGTAGTTGACACATTGCGCTGAAACTGTTCCTGCAGGGCTGCCTCACAGGCGCTAGCCTGGAGCTCTTTCAGAGTGGAGGGTCTTCATCTGCGTTGTTTTCCCTGGTCCTAGTCGAGTTCTTGCCGGACAATCTGCGTTACCCACGTCAAACAGATGCCACGTGAATGTTCTCCCGCATGTTTGTTCCCTCTACCTTAATTGCTTGGATCGGAATTGATGAGTGTTCGTTGTTTGTTTCCTGAAGGGATAGTTATTCTATTTTTCTTCTCCCTTTTTACTCCATGTTTATGAAATTCCCAGAAAGCTGCCTCTTGGGTAGTTGCTTGACTTTACCTCCCGTTCTCATCTGCTTTCCATTTCATGGCAGGTGTCAAAAATAAATGATGGACAGAATCAAATGGCACTGCAGTCAGGGCATTCCCAGCCCTCTCCTCTTCGTTATGGGGAGGACGTGGGATCTGATGAGAAAGAGGGGATGAGCAGACTGGGACTTGGGAACGGTGAGCTGGTGCAGTTAGGGCCTTTGCGCTCCCAGGGCACGAGTGATCCCAGGTCTCCTTCATCACACAGTGACCTGAATTTGTACATGAATACCCCACTGGATCTTGCTTTTGCAGTAAAGATGCTCTAGTAAATAAATGTGAAAGATGCTATTTGGTGAAGGACGCCAGTAATTCCAACAGATGTGCCAAGACTTTATCCTGTGACTGCCAGGGTTCATGAAAAGCTCTTTCTGAGGCTGTCGCAAAGATGTTCAAACACTGCACACAACAGAAGTACAACCTTTCAAAAAACACTTTGTGCACAACCTGACATGCCACAAAAATTACTGAGTCACCTGCCGCTTTCCTTGAGCCGGGTTTTGCCTGATGGACCACCTGTCTCTCAACACTGGCTTGTATGACGTGGCATCCCAAAACCCAGTGTGGGCTCCTAGAGCTTAGAATGTGGCAGGAATCGCTGGCCTGCTCCCTCTGGCATCTCTGCCCCTTCCCTGCCTCCTCAAAGGTCTGGTAACACCAGGCTGCTACTACGTGGCACTGTGCCTCGGCCCTGTTTCTCAGTAACCAGAGCTGCTGCACGTGGCATACCCGTTTAGGAGGACACAGGTGGTGGTGGAAGCATTACCAGACACCAGACTTGCCTCTTCATTCGTGTTTCCTGGGCACTTTCCAGGTCACAGGCGTGAGTGGAGAAGAAGGGTCACCATGCGTGGGGGGGGTGCAGGGTCAGCACGAACCCCACGTGTGTGTGTGTGTGTGTGTCACCAGGTGTTCGTGGCGGCCCTGGAAGGTGGATGTTGCCATCATGTGTGGATGTGAAATGAGCCCCGAGGAGTTCTGTGATTTTTTCTAAGACCCTTCAACCTTGGAGCCAGGCATGTGACCTGGGGTTGCCTGCCTCCACCTGGTCCTGATGCTACTTGTATTACAGGGGACACTCCCAAGGACACATGATGGGCCTCCTCTGACCAGAATCAGAGGACAAGGGACGTCAGCAGAGAATAATGCTGGTGATAAGGGAGGCAGCAGAACTGTTCCACATCAAAGGAGACCAAAGCACAGTCATAAATTTGCTTTTTAAAAAATATGAGTCCATAGCAGTACCTGAAAGTATAAAGAAAAATATGGGAAAAGTGCTTCTTTACCAAAGAATGGTAGTGGAGGAGGAGTGATGGGGTTTTAAAATCACCGTGTTGTGACCCCCTGCGCACATGCAGGACTCAGGCCAAGGTCGCCGGTTATGCTGAAACCGCAGGGTGAAAACACCCACAGAGGACTGATGGGGAAGCGTGCCTGCACCTTGAAAAGAGGACTGGGTGCCACTTGCATGAGCGGCCAGGCCTGGTGTCCTTCCTCTGAGCGGCAGTGCTGCCGTAGGGGCAGCATCACCCATGTGGCCTTATTAAACAGGAAGTTCCTTATCTAAGAGGTCAGGAGACAGGTCCACAGTGTGAGACTTTCTGCAGGCAGCTGGCCGGGCCCCCTCAGTTGCAGGGCACACATGTCTGGTGCGGGCAGATCCTGGGATCCTGGGGTGACCAGAGCAGGAGACGCACCTGGGGCAGCCCACGGTGGGGCGTGAGCCTGGTGGGTCTTGGATCCCGGGGTGGGCTGCAGTGGGGAATGCCCTCCTCAGGCACGGCTGCTTCAGGGGCACCTGGCTCCTGGCTTCTGGCTGCCTGCAGTCTGACACACCCCTCACCACCAGTCACCCTGTGAGAAGGCTGTATCTCCCCTCTAAGGGCTGGGGTTCAGGGGGATGAAGGAGTGAGAACGCCCTGACCTGGAGGGCAGACTGGGCTGCAGTCCTTTCACCTGCTTAGTGAACTTCCCACTCTCAGGCCAGGGTCCTTTCCTGGCCTCTGGCAACTTGGCAAATGCCCTGACCTTCAACGTGCCCCATGCTCTGGCAGGAGGGCCCGAAGCCTGGGTGTCAGCCCCCACCCGCACACCCCGTCTGTGGTCAGGCCTCAGCACGGTGCTTCTGTGCTTGTCCCGCAGGTTCAGGCGTGAATGGCCTGGAGGAACCCAGCATCGCCAAGCGGCTGAGGGGCACCCCGGAGCGGATCGAGCTGGAGAACTACCGCCTGTCCCTGAAGCAGGCCGAGGCGCTGCAGGAGGTGCCCGAGGAGACGCAGGCCGAGCACAACCTGAGCAGTGTGCTGGACACGGGCGCCGAGGAGGACGTTGCCAGCAGGTCAGCACACAGGGCTGCAGGGTGCCCACTCGCCACATGGCCCTAAGAGCCTCCTCACCACTGCATGCCTCTGTTTCCCCTCCATGCTAGTTGCTTCCTTACGGGATTGGCATTCAGGGTGAGTGAGCCCACGCGCTGACTCACTTGGCTCAGGGAGGCCTTGTAGGTTACGGTGCACAGCGTCCATGCCGATGGCGTCACTGGGCCTTCCTCACAGGAGCCCCATAAAGTAACCAAGAAGCTGATAGTGACCACAGCTGGGGTCACCGAGGCTGGAGCTGAGATCCCAACTCAGGCTTCCCAGGGGCCAGCCCAGGAGACCTGCTGTCTTCCCTGTTGCCTGCAGCCTGTTTTCCCCAGTCCGCTTTAGGTTCTTAGCCTCATCCTGTAGCCAGTGAGTTCAGAGATTCGGGAGATACTTACTCCTTCCTCACGTGTCCCCTGCTCCGAGTTCATCGTTGGGAAGGACAGTGGCAGGCTCTGCCCCCATGTGGTTCACAGAATCAGCAGAGGGAAGGATGGGCACACGGGGAGGGACTCTGGGTGACTCAGCCGCCAGCATACCAGGCTATCTTGAGGCGGCCAGCTCATCTCTCCAGGTGTCTTTTTTCTATCCTGTGGGTAAGGAAAGGGGCTGAAAACTTGTGACCCAGGGGCCACGTGCAGTACCAGTGGGTGCATGCTTAGCCAGTCCCGGAGCTGTAATCATGTCCAACCGGGTGACGCCTTTGGGGTGTACATGCTCTGACCCCAGGACCCCCTGTATCTGCTGTCCTGCACCCCAGGGCTTCCAGTGTCAGCAGAGACGGGTTCAAATTGCTCAGCCAATTACAGATGATCAAGAGAGCCAAGAATAAAATGAGTGGCCAGTGTCTTGCAGGGCTTCAGGACAGGAACACAGGCTGCAACCCTGAGGGGCGGAGGCTTCAGTGGCCTTGGAGAGCATTTGAGTCACACACCAGTCACCTTGATTTAGCCATGATGAAGGGAACATGTGGGGATAAGGAGAACAGAAGGTCCAAAAACGCTTTCCAGAGGGTGTTTGCTGGTCTGAGCTGCTTTCAGCTGCCCCCGCCACCTCAGCCCTCATGTCAAAGACCCTCTGACTAGACCCAGTCTTGGGCTGCCTCACAGATTGCTCCTCCATGCATGCCAGGGACAGCCTCTGCCTTGGTGTCTGCAGTTCCAAAGCTGTCACTGATGGTGCATCCTCATCCAGAGCTCTGCTTCTCTATCCAGACCACCCATGGAGGTCCCACATCTTCCCGGCTGTGCCCAGATGAGGGGCAGCCCACACTCTCTACACTCAACCTGCAGTGAGGGTGAGAAGTGCCGCGCGTCAAAATGCATATATAAACCCTTGAGCAGAGCTACTGGCTTGACCTTGGGCTAAGTGTTGGTCAGCACCATTTTCTCCACTGTAATTTACAAACTGTGAGAGGCAGCGGGGTAGCAAGTTCATGTAATGTACCAAGGACATGGAAGAAAGGCTAAACCTTCGCGTTTACAGCAGGTGTCACAGAAGGGCAGCACAGAAAACATGATACCAGTCAGCATCTACGCAATGCAATACATGTGCCATCTTACTCAAATTCAAGTTACAAGATTTTAAAACTAGCATTCAGGCTGGGCGCACTGGCTCACACCTGTAATCCCAACACTTTGGGAAGTCAAGGTGGGCAGATCACTTGGGGTCAGGAGTTCAAGACCAGCCTGGTGAACATATTGAAACCCTGTCTCTACTGAAAATACAAAAATTAGCTGTGCATGGTGGTACATGCCTGTAATCTGAGCTACTTGAGAGGCTAAGGCAGAATTGCTTGAACCTGGGAGGCAGAAGTTGCAGTGAGCCAAGATGGCGCCACCACACCACTGCACTCCAGCCTCCATGACAGAGCAAGACTCCATCTCAAAAAAAACTTAAAAATAAAAATTAGCATTCAGTGCTATACAGATTGAAAAATAGTCTCTTAAAAGTGAAGAGCTGGCCAGGCACAGTGGCTTACGCTTATAATCCCAGCCCTTTGGGAGGCCAAGGTGGATGGATCATTTGAGGCCAGAAGTTCAAGACCAGCCCAGTCACCATGGTGAAACCCCGTCTCTACTAAAAATACAAAACTTGGCGTGGTGGTGCACGCCTGTAATCTCAGCTAATTGGGAAGCTAAGGCAAGAGAATTGCTTAAACCTGTGAGGCAGAGGTTGCAGTGAGCCGAGATATTGTGCCACCACACCACTGCACTCCATCCTGTGCGACAGAGTGAAACTCCGTCTCAAAAAGGAAAAGTTAAAAATTAAAATAAAGGCTGTTTGCAGTGGCTCATGCAAGAGAATTGCTGGAACCCAGAAGGCGGAGGTTGCAGTGAGCCAAGATCATGCCATTGCATTCTGCCTGGGAGACAGGGTGAGACTCCATCTCAAAAAAAAAAAAAGGCCAGGCACAGTGGCTCACGCCTGTAATCCCAGCACTTTAGGAGGCCAAGGCAGGCGGATTATGAGGTCAGAAGTTCTAGACCAGCCTCGCCAACATAGTGAAACCCTGTTTCTACTAAAAATACAAAAATTAGCTGGGCATGATGGTGCTCGCCTATAATCCCAGCTATAATCCCAGCTACTTGGGAGGCTGAGGCAAGAAGAATTGCTTGAACTCGGGAGGCGGAAGTTGCAGTGAGCCGAGATTGTGCCACTATACTCCAGCCCAGGCAACAAACAGTGCGAGATTGCATCTCAAAAAAAATTTTTTTTTCAATTAAAATTAGCGTTCAGTGCTATACAGAATGAAAAATAGTCTCTTAAAATTGAAGAGCTGGTTGGCACGGTGGCTCACGCCTGTAATCCCAGCACTTTGGGAGGCCAAGGTGGGTGGGTCATGAGGTCAAGAGATCGAGACCAACCTGGCCAACATGGTGAAACCCCACTTCTTCTAAAAATACATAAATTAACCGGCATGTTGGCAGGAACCTGTAATCCCAGCTACTCAGGAGGCAGACTCCATCTTTAAAAAATTAATTAATTAATTAAAGGCTGGGCACAGTGGCTCATGCAAGAGAATTGCTTAAACCCAGGAGGCAGAGGCTGTAGTGAGCCAAGGTCATGCCATTGCACTCCAGCTTGGGGGACAGGGTGAGACTCCATCTTAAAAAGAAAAAAAAAAATTAAAATTAGCATTCATTGCTATACAGAATGAATAATAGTCTCTTAAAAGTGGAGAGCCGGCCTGGCAGCTCACGCCAGTAATCCTAGCACTTTGGGTGGCTGAGGTGGGCAGATCACTTGAGGCCAGGAGTTTGAGACCAGCCTGGCCAACATAGTGAAACCCCATCTTTACTAAAAATACAAAAATTAGCCAAGCATGTTGGCGGATGCCTGTAATCCCAGCTCCTGGGGAGGCTGAGACAGGAGACTCACTAGAACCTGGAACGTGGAGGTTGCAGTGAGCCAAGATCATGCCGTGCAGTAAGAACTATGCAACTCCAGCCTATGCAACAAGAAGAAAACTGCATCTCAAAAAAAAAAAAAAAAAAAAAAAACAATTGAAGAATCCAGCCAGGTGCGGTGGCTCATGCCTATAATCCCAGCACTTTGGGAGGCTGAGGTGGTCAGATCACATGAAGTCAGGAGTTTGAGACCAGCCTGGCCGCATGGTGAAACCCTGTCTCTACTAAAAATACAAACACTTGCCAGGTGTCGCGGCATGCCCCCACAATCCCAGCTCCTCGGGAGGTTGGGACAGGAGAATCGCTGGATCCTGGAAAGGGGATGTTGCAGTGAACCAAGATCGCACCATTGCACTCCAGCTGGGAGACAGGGTGAGACTTCAAAAATTAAAATTAGCATTCAGTGCTATAGAGACTGAAAAATAGTCTCTTAAAAGTGAAGAGCTGCCCGGGCACAGTGGCTCACACTTGTAAGCCTAGCACTCTGGGAGGCCGAGGCCAGCGGATCATTTGAGGCCAGAAGTTCAAGACCAGCGTGGCCAACATGGTGAAACCCGTCTCTACTAAAAGTACAAAAAGTAGCTGGGCATGGTGGTGCGCCCCTGTAATCCCAGCTACTCGGGAGTCTAAGGCAAGAGAATCGCTTGAACACCGGAGGAGGAGGTTGTGGTGAGCCAAGATTGTGCCAGTACACTCCAGCCTGGGCAGCAGAGGGAGCCTCCATCTCAAAAAAAATAAAGTGAAGAGCCCAGCCTGATGGGGTATTCATGCCTCTAATCCCAGTACTTTGGGAGTCGGAGTCAGGTGGATCTCCTGAGCCCAGTAGTTCTAGACCAGCCTGGATAAAATGATGAAACCCCATCTCTACCAAAAAAATGCAAAAATTATCCAGGCCTGGCTGTAGTCCCAGCTACTCAGGAGTCTGAGATAGCAGGAGAATTACTTGAACCGGGAAAGCGGAGGTTACAGTGAGCCAAGATCATGCCATTGCTCTCCAGCCTGTGAGACAGAGCAAGACCCTGTCTCAACAACAAAAAAAGTAGCACCCAGGGGAAGGAGCCATAAATCTCTTATTTCCCTGGGTGGCCGTAGGACACAGGAAGCGTGTGGTGTCTTCTCTCTTCCCTAAGCACCAAGCACAGAGTTGGGTGCATTTCCAGCCCTCGGTCCTTCCTTGCTGAGATATTAGACTGGAAGATGAGAAATGTCATCAACCAGGTTAGCCCAGGAACTCTCATGTCACAAGTTCAGTGAACTCGTTACTTTGGCCTCTGCTGCGGGAGACAGCAGCGTGATGTTTCAGAACCTGACTTTGGAGTCAAGCAAGGCATGCATTTTAAGCGCAGCTCTGCCAGCTGCCAGCTGCTAGCTGTTGGTAATTTACTTAGCCTCTCCCTGCCTCAGCTCCCCATCTGCAGAGGTACCGCACTTCAGAGATGTGCTGTGAGATTCAGTCATAAAGCACGGACAAAGCCCAACGCCCAGAGTCACTGCTGCTGTTCCTCTCCTGGTGCAGCGTGGGTCTCCCTCACTGGGAGGGCAGGGCGAGGAAGTCTTGTATTGGT